ATAAAATTTTAATAAAAATTATAAAATAAATATTTATTATAATTAAAAAATATTTATTATTATAATTAAAACTATGAACATAAAATTATATTTTTCTATTTTATTGTTGTAGAAAGTCAATTCTTTTTATATATATTATATATATTTGTATGTATATATATCATGAAGAAATTTAATATATTCATAATATATCTTTAAAGATTGATTCTAGAAGAGAAACAAACACAAATATAAAAAAATATCAGTTAAAGATTATTTATTAAATTATAAATAATTTAAATTTGCTTTGATGAAGTGAAGCAAAGACATATAGCTGTTTCATTTTATTTCGATATTTCTTTTTTTGTCTAACGCAAATTTAATAAATAATTTTCAACCAATATTTATATATCAAATTTATATTTGTTTTAAAGTCTAAAATCGATTTTTCAAAGATGTCCCATGAATATATTAATAAATAAGAATTATTCATCCATTAATTTTATTTTTTAATAACATTTATAAATAGTTCATAAACAATTTTTGATTTTTCCTGAAAAAAAATAGATACTCTTTTGAGCTATATTTTTTAAATATATATTAATTTTTAAATTTTTATGTATTGAATTATATACATCTTATAAATTTTATCGAAATCGATTAATATTGCTATTGCTAAGCTACAAACATTAAAAGTAATGAAAATCAGTTTTTCTAATGACTAATTTTTCATATTTAAAAATATAAAGATTTTTATATTTCTTGATGTTTATTATTTGTTTATGCCTCAATCGATTCCAATAAAATTTATATATATAATAAATATATAAATATATATTGTATTTTACTAACTTAAAATGATAAGAAGAAGTTTTTAAACTTTTATTAAAGATTCAGATGAAAAAGTTAAAAGATAAAAAAAAAATGTTTTTTATTATTTTATTCACAATTTCAATAAATTGCAATTTTTTCAAAAATTTTTTACACTTCATCTAATAAACTAGATTCATTTAACTCTTTGAAAAAATTCAAATCATTAAGTCCAAAAGAATTATTGTGTTTTAAAGAGCATATTAATATTTTTTTAATTGATTGTATATATTATATAAATTTGCAATATGATGTAAAAAAAAAATTAATTTAAACAACAAATATATCTTTCACGTTAAAAATTTTTTTTAATGTTTCAAAATATACATGTTATAGATATTTTTATTTTGCAAGCATATTTGTATGCTTCCTCTTACTCACATTCGCCTACCTTGAAAAGTCTTTATTTATACTTATTTTTGACACTAAATAGAGTGCACAAAATGTTCATGTCAACTTTAAAGAACACAGCATAAAGGCAGCATAGGAATGCTCAAGATGCTCCTTATAATACATTCAGAAATAAATTCATTTAATCGCTGATTTATAACAATATCAACGATTTTATAATATTATTATTTCACTATATTTGTGTGCCCAATAATTTGTTTTATTATTTACCAAGCTAATGGTATATAAATAAAATGGAATTTTTATAGGACACAAATCAATCTATTATTTAAATAGATTAAATTTATTTAATGTCAGTTAAGGCCAGATGAAGATCTTAAAAAGGCATATAATCCTAAGGCCAAAATTGTTACTACTGTGATTGTTTTGTAACTTCTGATACGGTATGGTATCCTTGGTACTAATTGCACAATTCTAAGTTGACGTTGTTTTTCCCTCTCTTGACGACTTGCTTCTGCTTTTGCTTTCCATTCTTGTTCTTTAGATTTTCGTTTTTGGTCATATTCTCTAACGTCATTATTTATAGATTCAGGAGGATATTGACGATATAAATTTTTAGCTTCAACAAGTAATTTCTCAAAAGGTAAATCATCGGGCAACTATAAATAAAAAATATTTTAATATTAAATGAATAATATAGCTACAATTTTATTTCATTCATATTATCAATATTAAACATTACTTACAGTACATAAAACTTTATGTGTATGACCCATATCTGGTGTAGTATTAAAAATTTCTGTTGCTCTATGTGCTACAATCACAGTACTTAGATAAAGAGGCATTAATGGTGGACTGCCAAGAAAATAATCAAATAATCTATGTAGCAACTTTCTATTTTCTGCATATTTGTGCGCATACCATGTTGTATATTCAGCCAATGCAAAATGTGGAAATAATTCTACACTATAATCAAAAAATAGATTTAATAGATGATTTATCTACAAATAATTATATAAAATATATATTTATTATACAAACTTTTCCAAATGTTCTAATAAAGTGGGATGTACTCTTTCTAAAAGTGCAAATATATAAAATAATTCTTGATTTACTTTCTCCATTGTCTTCTCCATAAATCTTTCAAGAAATTCTAAAGAAATGCTCTCAAGTACATGCAAACCTTTTTCTAAGCCCATGACAAGAAGAACAGTTGCTGCTATATCATTATAACCCTGGTAATAACTAAGTACGTATTATTTTATTTTGTATTATCAATATATATGTGTTTATAGCAAATGTTTCAAAAATTATAATAAAATAAAAATATTGCATAATATATTAAATGTATATAATACTAACTTTAGCATAGAATGTTTATGAAGAACCCAACACATTATTTGAGTCAACTGTTCATGGAAGTCATCTATTTCATGTTGTGTAGCATTTTGTGAAATATGACTTCCACTACGTGCAACATCCTTCAATATTTGTTGGTAGACTTCATTAGGTATGTGATTATGTATAGTTTCTAATCCAGTTATAGAAAAATTTTCTTCTGAGAGTCGTAATAATTTTGGCCATAGAATCCTTCGTATCTCATCTACAAATAATCTTTATGATTTCAAGATTTAATTATGAAGTATAAAATCATTTTCAATAAGAAACCTATAATTTTATGTTTTATTATTTTGAGTAAAATTGTACAAATTTTCATTTAATGAAGGTATAAAAACAAATTACACTATATTATCCATATAAATATTCCTTCTTTATAATAATACATGATCATAATGAAATACCATGAACTAAACCCTCACTGCTGCAACCGAGTAGTTTGAGTTCTCCTAATGTTAAATTTGGATTAACGATGCTTCCTCGAATAACACTTATCTTGATCCGTTCTGTATTAGTCAATATGTCTGTATCATCAAAATTATATTCTAATGAACTGTTATCATCTTCATGATTCAACACTCCGTTTTGTTTACCTGACGAACTAAAGTTTGCGATGTCAGGTATTCGTGGTATAATGTCATCATACCATGCTTTTGTAGAATCTGATATTCTTACGAGAGGTATATTATTTTTGGAATCGGAAATTTCCTCTTCCTTTGATACGAGATTTATGGTTTCGATTACATTTCTTCGTCTAAGTTTCAGGTTATGGTTTTCAATAGGAATTGACATTTCCGTAAACGTTTCTGGAACACTAGAATCCAAAGATATTTCGTCTTCTTTGTGCTCCATATTACTCGATAAAATAAATTTATACGAAAAATTTTTCAAAATATTTCATTGTACAAAAAATTTACTGAAAACTCCCGGAACATCTGACAGAACAATGACAGTCTGTCAAGAAACATACATTGATCACCGTCACTAATTCGTAAAAGAATTCAATTGCTTATCAACTGAAATTGAATAGACATTGACGTGGCTTATCGTTTTCTTTGCTTTCATACACCACAGAAAAGATATAAAATAGATATGTTACGCAGTTTGGGGCCTTAGAAGGCCCCTTATTATTTTAATTGTTTTTAATATCATTGATTTAATATAAAATAATATTATAATCCAAATAAAACATAAACAGCAAACTTGTTTGTGATTACAAATCAAAACAAACCTAACATTACATATAACGAATGTCAATAAATAATACTCTATACGTTATATTTACAATTATAAAAAATAAAAATTTATATTTTACTATATACTTTCATATAATTATTATTATATATTATAATTTATTTTAATTTTGATTATTATTTACTAAACAAATATAGATAAATGTAGATTATTATTTGTATATATATATAATCATATTTTAAATCAGTAACATTAAAACTGACACAAAATATTTTTAAACTTAACATATACGATATAAATTTTTATCGAGTGATAGATCTATATTATATCTAGTTGTGATGTAACTTGATGTTCGTTTATGTCGCTTCAGTCGTTGTTGAATAGTATTGTAAATATACTTAAAGATCATATTACGATTTATTGCAGTAAGAAATATATATTGTGAAATTAATATTTTTGCCTGGAAGGTTATAATTAGAATTTAAAAAATGGCCAATATTCTATATAATTTCATTTTTAAAAGATCCTCTACATTTACCATGGCTATTATAGCTAGCAGTTTTTTCTTTGAACGAGCATTTGATCTAATTTCGAATGAAATGTTCGAACAAATTAATAAGGGGGTATGTATTTATATAAAAAATATTGTTTAATATTAACGTTATAAACACATATTTAAAAATATATATAAATTCTTTATATAATAAATTGAAATAATAAAAGAATAATTATTTGATTTATTATTTTTTATATTGCATATGTGTATAATTTCATATTTAAAATATATTTTGTTTTTAAAAATTTAATGATATATTGTTTAGCATTATGATATTAAAATGATACAATTTAAATACGATTTAATATTTATTTTTTATAATGTTATTATATGTAGTTTTATTAATCTTAATAGAAAGTATTATATAATAATTTTGTATATTAATAATATTAAATTTTGTATATAATAATATTGTATATAATAATATTAATTGTTAGATTTTATATAATAATAAAAAATAATAATTTTTTAAAAATAATTTTAATATAATTTAATATAATTTAAATATAATTTTTTAAAAATAT